TTTCTTTTCTAAGACAGAATCTTACTAAGTTGCTTGAGGCCATGCTTAGTCTCCAACTTGAGATCCTCCTGCCTCAGCCTCCTGAGTTGCACTCACATCACCCGGCTTGCCCCATTTTTTGAAAGAAGAAAAAAAGGATTCTCAGGAAGGTAAAGTGGTTTACTGAAGACTACAAAGTTTGACACACTAATTAGAAGGAGGTTATAGAAATATCTAGGCTTGCACTCCCAAAACATGTCCAAGTAAAGCCAATCATGGTAGTGCACACCTGTAATCCCAGTGGCTCAGGAGGCTGAGGAAGGAGGATTGCAAGTTCAAAGCCAGCCTCAGCAATTTAGTGAGGACCTCCACAACTTAATGAGACCCTGTCTCAAAATAAAAGATAAAAAGATCTGGGGATGCTCAGTGGTAAAGCATCCCTGGGTTTGATCCCTGGTATTTAAAAACAAAAAAGTCCAAATGAAATAATAAGAATCTCAAAAAATAAGTAATAACCTAACACTTGGTGGCCATTTAGACAGTAGCAGCAGTCATCTCTCCAAGAAAAGATCTGCAGGAAGCTAGAAGCAAGAGAAAATGCTGGCAGATGGAATAGACAGAATGAGGAAACTGCTACAGTGGCAACCACCACTTTCTCCAGGAAATGAACATTGTTTATGAATGTAATGTTGCCACATGCCGCCACATCATGAATGCACAACAATATAAAGTATACAAGAAAGTTCCTCTGGACCAACTGTTCAAGAGATTTGACACAGAACAATGAGGAGCCAAGGGGGAAATGGAAGTTCATGGCAATATCCACTCACGCAAAACCACAGACAACAGAGTCAGTCCTTCAGCAAGGCAAACATTCACAAAAATGGCACTTCACGGACATCCACTGCTGTATTGTTGCTAGCAGGTAGCAGTGACTGGAAGAACTTGCATGTCTATAGCACAAGACTGAGAAATATTTAAATCAAATCAGTCAGCAGGTAGTAATTGAGGAAGACAGAAAGCGTAGGGAGGGTGGGGTGGGAACATATAATCCCTTTTGGATTGTTCATTTGCTTTATTTTTACACGCATTAGTTTTTACTTAAAAAATGATTTTATGCCCAGTCAGTAATGATATTTTAGCCAACCAACAGACTGTATATATGATGGTATTCCCATAAGATAATCTTGCGTAGTGACATCATAGCTGTGTTCATAGCTGAGTGGTGACACATTTCTCAGAATATGTCCCCATTGTTAACTGATGTGTGAGTTTTTTTCTCTGTTTTAAGAATAGCTTGAAGATATGATGTCCTTTTACCCTAATGCTTCAGACTCTCTATATATGTAAGTTTGCATTTATGTATGAATATGTGTACGTGATATGTATAACAAAGTGAACATGGGAGAGAGAATAAAGACAATGTAGTAAAATTTTGACATGTTAGGAATCTGCAGGATTCATAGAAACCATGAATCTTTGTTCCAGTTTTTCCTCTTTCTCTATGTATATGTGTATAAACCTTTTGCAACTTTTCTGTAAGTCTGAAATCATAGAAAAATAATACAATGCAAAATTTTTTAAAAGGTTCAAAAATATTGTATTATTTAAGTTTAAAAAATTTTTAAACCTGTCATGTCTTGGAACATAGTAATGTCTTAGAGTTGATAGAGGTCCCAGAAGCCTGTATAGTCTACTTCCTGCTGGATTTGGCTTTGTAGCTCAGCTACCTAAGTGGAACTCAAGAGAGAAAGGCCACCTCTGGCTCATAGGGCCTTCTGGCCTTAAGATCAGAGCTGATTCATTGACCTGGTGCATGGACAAGGAAGTAAAAAAAAAAGAGAGAGAGAGAAGCCTGGTGGCTTCCATAATCTACTTGGGCCCCACTAAATACCAAAGACAGTTGCACAACAGAGATTGCAGTAGCCCCCAAATCCTCCTGGCTCATACCAGACCTTGAGCAACTTTTGTGTTCAGGCCTCAGATGAGCCTGAACACAAAAGACTGAGGTCAATTCCAAATCAGTTGGTTGTCAGTACAGCACATTTTCAGCTGCAGTGTAGCTACAGTCTCTGCTATGGTTTGGACAGGTGTCCCCCCAAAAGCACATGTTATAGGTTTGTTTTCTGTGGTGCAATTGGGAAAAGGTAGAAACTTTAAGAGGTAAGCCCTAGTAAGAGGTTTTAGAACTTTGGTGGTATGCGCTTGAAGAGATTGTTGGGGCCCTGAATGTGTCTGTCTGTCTGTCTGTCTGTCTCTCCCTCTCTCTCTCTCTCTTTGTTCTTCCCCATGATGTAAGAAGGTTTGCTCTGCCACCTGCCCCAACCATGATGTACTCTCTGACACCATCGTTAAAGGTCTACAAGTAATAGATCTGCTCAGTCATTGACTGGACCCTCCAAAACTGTAAGTCTAAATAAGTCTGGTCTCTTCATAAGTTGATCATCTAGGCTTAGTTGTTAAAGTAACAGAAAAATGACTAACACAGCCCCACAGTGTCTACACAAGCCTAACACACCTCTTGGCTGTGCTTCCTGTCATCTTATGGTCTGAGAAGAGCTGCTTACTGCTCAGATCTGTCTGCTTTATGTACTCAGAGGCAAAATGTTTACACATTTCCGTTAACACATGGACTTTCTTTGGTGACACACTGATATTCTCTTAGGGCTTTTATATCTTCCAAACTACACGCTACCCCACTCCACACCACAATACACATCTGGCTTTGCTCCAAGTTCCCAGTGATAAACATTATCATGATATAATGTAAGTATCCTCAGAACTATTAAGACTTAATATTACTTAATTTTATACACTGCTCAAAGTTGTGAGGGGCACAACTGGGAAGGATTTGCTATCACTAGTATTGTAAGCCACTGGGGAAGATTGAAAGCAAGAAAAATGCCATATTCATTGCTATAACCCCTCCAGCACCTAAGGAACATCTCCCATGTCTTGCTGAGAGCTTAGGTTCAATACATGGGATCCATCCCCTCTATTCCATAGCTGAGAAATTTGAGATCCAGCTGTTAAATCTGGGTTAACTAAGGTCATCATATACTTAGCTAAAAAGTCAGCTGTTGTCCAGATGTTCCTACACTGAGTTCAATGTTCTTTCATGTGTCAGATTGCTTGTTAGATGAATGAATGAATGACTTTACCATTCCATGTGTACAACCAAAAGATACCAGAAAAGACATTAAAGTTAAATAATCTAGCAAATGCAATTGTTTGGATAGACTGTATTTTCCCATTAGTTTTCCATTTTCCACTACGTGTTTTTATGTTCAGAGCCTTAGACATAGGTTTAGTCATTTAAAAATTTTAACTAAGACATATACATCTGACAAATCAGATTTCAATAATGTTAGTTCTAACTCCTTTATAATCTATATCATTTGCTTTAAACAATGACATCACCAGATTGAGCTCAATATATTTTTACATGTCTTTACATGCCAATGGTGAAGGATGCAAACACTCCATGTTATATCCCTAGTATAAAAAAAAAGATTTGAAAATAACTAATACATGCAAATGAACTCTGACATAACATGATTACAAGATATTCGCTAGCCAGATGTTTAAACTACATCCTAGTTTAAGAATACAAATTTTGACCAGGTATAGCGTTATACATGTGTAATCCCAGCTCCCCAGAAGGCTGAAGCAATATGATCTCAAGTTCAAGACAGCCTGGGCAACTCAGTCAGATACTATCTCAAAATAAAATTTAAATTTAAAAAGGCCTGGGGATGTAGCTCAGTGGTAGATTGATTGCCTAATAAGTGCAAGAACCTGGCTTCAGTCTCCTGTCCAAGGAGAAGGAGGAGGAGGAAGAGGAAGAGGAGGAGGAGGAGAAGGAGCAGGAGGAGAAGGAGGAGGAGAAGGAGGAGGAGGAAAAGACTTCAAATCTTTCATTTTCTTGCTCATCCTGAGAATTAGAGGTTTAAGAATAAAACTAGGGATAAAAAACGGAAACAAGAACCGAGAAAGGGATCCATTATCCAGAAATTATAAGAGAGAAGTAGGCAAGCTCCTAGAGGAAGAGGAAAATGGTAGAGGAGCAGTCAGGAAATGTGCCTATCAAAGCTCCCACTCTCTCTGCCTCATCCCTGACCCCTGCCAAGAAGTGAGCTGGCAATCTTATCATGACCAAACAGAAATGGGCAAACAGAAAAAGTGTAAAGCCCCCAAACCCAGATTTAGACACACCTCTCCAGCCAAAGCCAAAAAATCACACTGCCTGGGGACAGGCCATCATACCAGCCACACCAGACCCCCTTCCCTGCCATCACTATTAAATGTTACAGAAAAAATATGCTTGCAAGTACAATGGGCCTTTTTAAGATGATCTAGTCTAAACTTTCCTCTCCGGTATTGCAGAAGAAAAACTCAGAGAAATGAAGTCACTTGCCCAAGGTCATTCAACAAGATAGAACCAGATCCCCAAGCCACCTACGTGCTGTTCAAAGCTCCTGCTCTAAGCAGTTTAAAAGGTACAGAACCTATGAAAACACCCCAACCACTTAGAAATGGAGAACAAGTACAAAGAGGCACAAAATAAGGCAAAAACAAACTAATTCAAAAAGTTAACTTCACCTAACCCACCAGAAGCCCAGTGACAATAAAAATAGCATGGGGCTGCTTAATAGAGTAATGGTTCCTCCAACAGTTTATTTAATGGCTTCTTTTTCCTATTTATCCCTTTCTCCAAGGCAGAGAAAACTGAAAAATGCATGCAAGACTATTGAAACTCTCACTTTGAACCCACGCAGACTTTACTGACATCTGAAGTTAAGGGATTAGCAAGTAAGCATTTTCTCCCAAGGGTTTACCGAAATCACACTATTAAAACTAAGATATCAGGTCATTCCATGAGCCTCAAAGCCCTGGGGAAAAATCTAAAACCTTCACAGCAGACAGTCCTCTCCCCTCACCTGCCCAGGCTGTGCTTTCTCAGCCAACTAAAGGCAGACTTTTAAAAGTATGTGACCCAAGAGAAGAAAACTTTTTCTTACCCTTAAAAATTACAGAAACGATGGGATCCGGCTTCCCAAATTTCGTTTTAGGGATGTTACTGGCAGATTCCACGATCACCCGGAGCATGGCTCTTGCTTGGCAGAAAGTAAGTTTCAGCGAACGAAGTTAGGAAGGCGCGGCGCTGGAGCTCCGGCCCCTCCACCCGGGACAGAATTTGTCTCCCTGAGGAAAGGGAGGGTTTCTCCCAGAGAAGAGCGAAGGGGGAAAGGCGAATGGGTGGATCTCTGACGGAATATTTACTGAAGGCAGTGTGTGTAAACTGATACCCACGCTCCCCGGGTCTGCGCAGTGCCGCAGGCACCGACTTACGAATTCAGAAAATGTGGAAGTGAAATGGACAAAACCTCAATGAAAAATAATTTTGTGCAGCAAATGAAACTTCAATGGAATTGGCTAATAAAAGCAGGCAGGTCAGGAAACCACTAAATGTTGCTGCTTTTTAATAATAAATCTTGAAACAGAATTCATTGCTTTTCTGACACCTCTTTCATTCTTCACTGCGTTTCATGCAGTTTTCAAACTTTGCTCAGTCGTTTTTAAAAAAAATTCTTACTTTTGCCATTTCTTCTCGTAGTGTTGAACACACCCACTGGGCAACCACTTACAGACAGCTCTTGAAAAGCAGTTAAAAGTCGCCCCCTGCAGTATGGCAAAGAAACAACTGTCTATGGCAAACAAACCCAATCCAGGCACAGGGGTGTACGGGATTACAAAAATTGGTGTTTGCGGGGCTGATCCTTTGCGTTACAAAAGGATTTACCTTCAGAAGAGAAGGTCCATCAAATCCTGGCCCATTGAAAGTTGCTAACAGTCTTCTATGAAAATGGAAATGAAGGAAATGGCTCTTGGAGCTGTTTCTGGACCTACCCCCAGTAGTGTCTTCAGTCCCAGAAGAAGCAGTAAAGCAATACATCCTGGTATTGAAGGTCACAAGAGAAGATGTGGGGTTAACACATGAGTCCCCACTTTACCCCTTGGAGCTACATCACTTCCGCAAGTTTCAAAACCACTACTCTTCCTCAGTTTCCCTGTCTGTAATATAGACATAAAGTTGTAAGATAAAGGTCACGTGGGGACTGGCACGAAGCACGCAGTCAATTATACATATAAACCCTGGAAGTCCATGCTTATTCATGATTTTCATAGCATTACCATTAATGCAAGTTGGCTTTAACTCAGGTTATCACTGAAGAAAAGGACAAATCATGGTAAAGAAACATAGAACTTCTTTTCATTTCTTTTCATATGAACATACACCTAAGACCCATCTGTAAGCAAACACTTCTAGTGTGCGGAAAAACTATGTTTTAACCTACAGAATTCTGTCTCAGTGAATTTCTCAAAGCCCTACACAATCTGGGCATGGTGGCTGTAATCCCAACAATTCTGGAGGTTGAAGCAGGAGGACTGAAAATTCAAGGCCAGTCTTAGCAACTTAGGGAGAGCCTGCCTCAAAATTTAAAAGGGCTGGGGATGTAGTCCTTCACTGATAAACATTCCTGGGTTCAATCCCTAGCATTGATTTAAAAAAAAAAAAAACCTCACATAAAGCAAGAACCCAATTATCCAATGCTAAACACATTAAACACTACTGAGTTTAGTGGACACATAAAGAGTTTTAGTGGAATTTCTTGAGCAAAGAGTGCAAGCATTTCTTCACCTTTACTGGGCAATTATAATTGTATTCCAGTGTGCTTGCAGTGTTTATGCTAACGCCGGTGGTGTATGAGCCTTCTGGTAGTTCTTCCACCTTTGTTACACTAAAGAATGTTAGATTTTTATCGATGTGGTCATCTGGTGAGCATATAGCAGTATTTCTTTGGATATTTAATTTGCATTTTACCTATTCATGTGGGGAAAAGAAACATGATCTCTAACCTTACATGATATATAATAAATTACAGTTGGAATTTAAATAAGGAAGATAAAAATTTGAAAGATAATGCAGAAGAACATCTTTATGATCTCAGGGTAGGAAATTATTTTTTAATAGGAAAAAAATCATAAAGGAAATAATGATAAATTCAATCATACTAAAAATCACAAACTACAAAGGGCCAGTGTCTAGAGCACATAAACAACTCCAGCAAATTAGTAAGAAAAACACTCAGAGCTCAATGAAAAAATAGGTAAATGAAAATATGAGAAGGTACTCAACCTCATTAGTAATCAGGAAAATGTAAATTCCAACACCAAAGAGATACTATTCTATAGTCACCAGATGGCCAAATATGGGAAGGCCCAACACTTCCAAGTGCGACAAAATGCAGCGCCACAGGGAGTCTCACACACTGCTGGTGAGTGGTGCAATCAGCAGTAGATTCTTAAAGATTTTCTCTCATCATAATCATGTAATTTGCAAATAATGCCTGCTTTGCTTCTTTCTTTCCAATCCTCATGCTTACTCTCTTTTTCCCTTTTATTTCTGTTCGGGTGAGATTTCTCATTACTGTCATCCTATACTTTTTCCCTGTTTCAAAGGGAAAGATATCCACATTTCATTATTCAGCATGTTGTTTGCAATAGGCTTTTCATAATTAGCCTTTTTAAGGCTAAAGGAATTCTTTTTTATTCCTAGGTTGCTAAAACTTTATAAAATAAGTGAGTTGGCATTTTATCAGATGGTTTTACTCAATATATTGAGATGGTCGTATTATTTTTGTGTTTAATGTGGTGAATTACATTTATATTTTGATGTTAAACTAACCTGCATTCCTGAGATAAACCCAACTTGGTTCTCTTATCTTATGCTTTCCTATTGCTAAATCTGGGTTCCTAATATATTTAAATATTACTTATAACTTTTGCATCTGTGTTTATGAATATGATTGATTGTGATTTCCCTCCCTCCTTTTGTCCTTGTCAAGCTTTGACATCAATCAAGGTTATGCTAGTATCATATAATGAGTTGGCATGTACTGCTCCTTCCTCTATTCTTTGGGAGAGTTTTTGAATTTGGAATTATTTCTAAGTTATTTTATAAGAGCTGTACATGTATTTATTTTAAAGAATCAAGAAATCCTACCAGGTTATTACAAAATTAGTGGTTCCTCTATTCTGGCAGCTATTTCTACTCCCAGAGTTCCCTACTTTGAGCTCTTTCCTAAAATCATTTTGGTATTGATACGTTTTATATTTTATTTATTTATTTATTTATTTATTTGGTACTGGGGATTGAATCCAGGGAGACTTTACCACTGAGCTACATCCCCAGCACTTTTTAATTTTTATTTTTTATTTTGAGACAGGTTCTTGCTAATTTGCTTTAGGGCCTTGCCAAATTGTTAAGGCTGGCCTTGAGGTTGTGATCCTCCTGCCTCAGTCTCCCAAACTGTGGGATTACAGACTTGAGCCATCATGCCCAGCTCTACTTTAAAAAATTTTTTCCCTTTCAGGATCATCTATTTGTTTCCTAATAAAGAAAGTGAGGACCTACTTAACTTCTGCCACCTCTCCTTAATCTGCCCACGTATGCCTACCTTTTCTGTATCTTCTCTCCCCTAAGTAGATATATCATAAATTTGCTTAGATCAAATGTGTATATATATATATATATATATATACACATATATATATTTATTTAATATCTTTGTTTTATTTATTTTATTTTTATGTGGTGCTGAGGATGGAACCCAGCGCCTCACACATGCTAGGTGAGCTCTGCTGCTGAGCCACAACCCCAGCCCTCAAATGTTTATATTACTGTGACTCTGTAAACACTATTCACAACTAAGCTGAGAAGTATACTATGATGTGCTTCATGGTTTTTTTTTTCTGTTTATTTCTTTCTGAATTTTTTTTAATAACTTAAACTCTCTCCAATTGTGCAAATTTCCCCACATGTCTAAGCTCATTAGGAATCATATCAATCTTATGTTCTTGAAGAATCCGCTCCTAGAGTCTTCTGAACTCCTGTGGTTGGAGTGGTTTTGCTCTGAGCCCCTGCATGGCTACTGACCCCAGTCTTCCCTTCCCCATTGTCTATTCCCTATTTGGGGTTCTATGTCTTCTTTTTTCTTGTGTTGCTGAAGCATGGACCTTCTATGTCTCAACAGCATCATTCTCTTATATTTAATCAACTGTTTGGTGGCACAGAAACCCAAGTTCAAAAGCATTGCCTCCCATTATTTGAAAGCATTGCTCTTTTGTCTTCTGGCTTCCCAAGTAGCTCCCCATCTCTAGGAGATATCATATGTCTTCTCCACCTGTTGCTCTGTGACTTGCTTGTTTTTCTATGAGCAGCATGTTGTTCTCCACCCCATTAGTGGCAGACATGGCTGTGGGACTGGCTTTAGTGGAATTTGAGAGTGTGATAGATGTCGCAGTACACCACCCACATACCCTCCAGGAATTAAGAATTTTTATCCCCAGCTGCTGGGAGGTCTGCCAGATATCTCAGCTGTTAGACCTCTTTGGAGATTACCAGCCCTGAATAAGGCTGTCTCACCCAAGATCATGTCTCCCTCCAGCAGCAGCCTACCTCCCAAGGCTGATCAGTGTAGGGACATAAAGGTTTGTCCCCCTTATCCCAAGTGGTGACTATCTGAGGGCCATCTTAGACCCTGACCCCACTTGAGGCTGGTGTCAGGACTGCATCATTTCAAATCCTTCTTCCTTTTCCTCCCTTCTATGATGCCAATCTCAAGAATATGTCCTAAGAAATGTCTTATATGACTAATCTACATTTCATAATTTTTCCCTGGGGAATTCAGTCTGTCACAGTTGGTACCAGAAGTGGTTCAAGAAGGTTTGGATCAATGAAATAGATTCTAATATGGATTTGGGGCTTGACACTGGGACAATATTCAGAATTAAATCCCAACCTATCTCCTGGTGGATGGGCTAGGCCTCCTACAGACAGGAAGGAACAACACCCTAAATAAATTGTAAGGCAGAGCCAACGGGTACAGACAGGAGCTGGAAGAAAACATGTGGGGCTGAATTCTAAAAGTGGTGGATCAAGAAGAAATACAGAAAATAAATTTGGTAAAAAAGAGTTTATGGATATGGGCACTCCCCAGGATACTGAATTTCACATTCTGCAAGGATCCTGATGATGGTCTAAGTATGCTTCTAGAATGGCTCATAGAAACATGGAAACAGCAAAGGTCAGTCTTAAGCTAGGAAGAAATACCTAGCTTGCTCTGGCAGACAGTAGGGATTAGAATGCTCCAAAAGGAGCATAATAGGGTAGATATCCAGATGTCTATGCTTTCCCTACTGGGGCTTAGAAGATAATCATTCATTAAGGCAGTAGAGAACATGATGGTGGAGGGGCATC